CACAATGCAAAAGGGCGATTAGACCTTTAAAGGTAGGGTCAGCACCAAAAGATGAGTGGATTAGAAATATGGCTGATACTGGATCTCACGGTTATGATGCTACTCTGATTGGAGAACTAATTTCTAAAAGTTTTAAGAAAAATCATAATGTCAGATGTTTTAATTGTGATAAACCAGGTCATTTGAAAAGAAATTGCAGGCACTGTTCCTAGAAATAATGAATTTTCTAGAGATAATCCAAAAAGAGGGCCCCAGCCTTCTGGAGTATGCAGAAGGTGTGGCAGAGGCCGGCAGTGGACTACTGAATTTAGATCAACATGGGACAGGAAAAGTAACTCTTTGCCATTGGGTAATGCCTAAGGGGGCCCTCCTGCAGGTCCTGACAACAAAATTGATATATTTGTGTTTCCTGTCAGCTTCAGAGACACTCATCCACAGAGCAATTAAAAGGTTTAATGGATGTTGTTAAGAACAGCACTGCTTGGGATGTAATCAAGGACAGAACAGCTTTAGTAGATAAAACCAAACATTCAGGAGAGACCAGAAAACAAATGGGCAAGCTGCTATAAATGATCAGAGATAGAAGTTAAAAATTCAAATAAATGGCATTGAAATTGTAGGTTTAGTAGACACAGGAGCAGATAACAATAATTTGAGCAAAATCTTGACATCCTGATTGGCCTCTTCAGAGGGTAAATATTAAGCTTCTAGGAACTGGAACTTTATCTCAGGTAAAACAAAGTGCACAATGGGTTGAGTGTATAGGGCTAGAAGGACAAATAGAAAAATTAAAGCCATATGTGTCTAATATAGCCATGAATTTATGGGGACATGATTTGTTGCAGCAGTGGAAAACACAGAATAACATTCCTCTAATCTGAAAAGCCATAAAGTAAAGAATGCTTCTGAGGGAGGGGGAAAAAAAAAAAGAAAGCTATTATCAAGAACAGTCACAGACTGTCCAGGTTGTCCATAATCAGTACACAATAGCTGTTGGTCTTTCAAATGTACTGACTGCCCTACCTTTAAAATGGCTAACTGACAAACCTGTGTGGATGGAACACACAGGTTTTTTCTTTGACAAATTTTTCTTTGACAAAAGAAAAATTACAGGTACTCTGGAGCAGCTAAATGCTCAGTACATTGAGTAATCTAGCAGTCTGTGGATTTCTCCTGTTTTTGTTATAAAAAAGAAATCAGGAAAATGGAGGATGTTAAGAGATTTAAGAGCCATAAATAACATGATTCAGCCAATGGGCTCTTTACAGCCTGGAAGCCCATTGCCTACTTTATTACCAAAGCTTTGTTAATAACTGATTTAAAAGATTGCCTTTTTGCAGTTGCTTTGCATGAGTGTGATAGGGAAAGGTTTCTTTTCTCAGTACCTACTTATAATAATAGTTGTCCAATAAAGAGATATCATTGGAAGGTCTTACCATAGGAAATGTTAAACAGTCCTACCTTCTGCACTATTTTGTACAACAGCCTTTAGAAATAATTTGTAAACAGTTTCCTCAGTCTATAATTTACCATTATTTAGATGATATCTTATTGGCTAATTCAGATGCAGACACCCTACAAAAAGTGTTTAATGAAGTAAAGAAAATTTTGTCTTGGTGAGGATTACAGATTGCTTCTGAAAAGATACAAAGAGGAGATTCTATTAATTAATAGCATATAAAGTAGGTTTACAGAAAATTTGGCCCTAGAAAGTACAGATTAGGAGAGATTAATTACAGACTCTTAATGATTTTCAAAAATTGCTGGGAGATATTAACTGGCTACAGCCCACAATGGAATTAATTACTGAAGTGCTAAGTAGTTTATTTCAAACCTTGCAAGGTAACAAGGACATAAATATTTCAAGAAAATTATCAACTGAGGCTGAGAGAATTGGCTCTGGTAGAAAAGAAATTAGAGGATGTACTGTGGATTGTTTGGATCCAAAGCCTGACTCTGTTTTAGTTATTTTGCCTTCTACTCATTCTCCCACAGGATTTTTTTTTTTTAATTTAAAATTTTAATTTTTTGAGACTGGATTTCTGTGTGTAGCTTTTGCTGTCCTGGACTCCCTCTGTAAACTAGGCTGGCCTCAAACTCACAGAGATCTACCTGCCTCTGCCTCCCAGAGTGATGGGATTACAGGTGTGTGTGTGTGTAGGGGTGCTCCCAGCTTCCCACAGGAATTCTTATGCAGAGAGAAGATATAGCTTAGAAAATATTTTTTAGCGCCCAAACAGAATATAAAATTAAAGATCTGTGTAGAAAAGTTTTTCTGAATTGGTTCTGAAAGAAAAAATGAGACTTCATCTATCAGCAGGAATAGACCCAGCAGAAATTGTGATACCCTTTTCTAATGCTGAAATTGCTCCATTATGGGTAGAAAATGAACATTGGCAAAGAGCTTGCAGTAAATTTTTTTGGGAAGAGATTAACAAGAAATATCCCCAAAGCAAGAGACTTCAGTTTATAAAAAGAAATAACTGGATTCTCCCTCATTAGTAAAAGGACACCAGTTTTTTCTGGAGCCCCTGCATTCTGTACTGATGCAAATAAATCAAGAAGGTTCTAAATCAGGAAAAATTAGTAAAGTGACTCAGAGCCCTTATGATTCAGTTAAAAAATCAGAGCTGTATGCTATTCTTTTTGGTTTTTCAAGACAGCTTATCTGTGTAGCCTTGGCTGCGTTGGACTTGATTTATAGACCAGGCTGTCCTCGCACTCACAGAAACTGCCTGCCTCTGCCTCCCCAAGTGGTGGGATTACAAGGGTGCACCACCGCTCCCAGCTCCTGTATGCCATTCTTATGGTATTACTAGATTTTCCTGCATCTCTTAATATAGTTACTCTCAATATGCAGAAAGAGTTGTTTTACGTATTGAAACCGCTGAACTTTTTCCAGATGATTCAGAATTAATTAACAAAATGGTCACAACATTTGACTAAAGCATGGTTTACTGATGGCTCATCAACCACTGATGGAACTAAAACTAACAAAAAGTGGCAGCTTACAGGCCTGGGGATTGAATGGCCAGTCCTGAGGAAAGAACCACAAAATCAGCGGCGCACTATCGGCTATACGACAAACAACTGGGAAAGCAAAAGGAAGACGTTTTCTCTCATTCATGGCGTGTGCACATTGGTGTAGCTATGTGGTCATCAAAATGGAAAGCTAACTGACAGATAAATGGCAAAGATATCTGGTCATGTGAGGTATGAAGAGAAAGGGCAAAGCCTAACAAACCTTAGCAAAGATATCAGGTTTTATATAGCTCATACAGGCAAGACAGACAAAATGTGTGAAAGTAATGAAATAATGTACAAATTGGCATCATGTATAAGACTAGATTATTAACTTACCAGGGAACAAATTCAGAATAAATCAACAAGAATGGTAGAGTACACATTCAAAAAACTTGAAGGTTTACTTCTAACACTAAAAAATAAGGGGAAATGAAGCACCAAATTGAACCAGAATAATCCTATGAAAATAACTATTATAAGGAATCCATAGCCAGGTGGTGGTTCACACCTTCAATCCCAACACTTTGGAGGCAGAGGTCAGCACAAAAGAATTACAGTAATTTAAATTTAAAAATCACTTGCAGAAGGTAGACTGAAATTCAAAGCAAATGTCTTTTGTGATCTAAAAAGAAATACACTTAAACCTTGAATTCATAGGGAGCTGGAGAGATGGCTCAGTGGTTAAGAGCACTGACTGCTCTTCCAGAGGACCCTGGATCAATTCCCAGCACCGACGTGGCAGCTCACAACTGTCTGTAACTCCTGTTGCAGAGGATCTGATACCCTCACCAGGACAAACATGCAGAGAAAACACCAATGGATATTAAAAATAAAAAAAACAAAAAACCTTGGATTTACATATAAAGAGAAAGGGGAATATAGGTATATTTATCTACACATACTAAGATATATTTAGTTTCAAAATTAAAAAAAATTAAAATTTCAATTGCCAAAACCATTTTGCCCTAGGAAAAATAACCTGCCAAAAATGGACCTCTTCAGTGCCCCCCCCCCTTCCCTTGGAGTTAGGGTTGGGGCAGGGTTTTGCTTTTGTCTTTCCAGGAGAATAAAAGCATCCAACTAAGGGATCTGGAAACCACTGGACAAGTAAAACATCAGAAGAAAAAGGACAAATCATCAAGAAACAATGTCCCAAGACAAAAAGTGAATTGGCCAAGAGGTATCCCCCACCTCCAGCTTGTCTCTGCTGCCCTCTACAGACATAAGTGGCAAATGATCTTTATGTGTGCTCAGTTCAAATAAAAAATAAAGCTGGCTTTAATTTGATGGTTGCAGCATGACTCTCTTCTGCTCTAAATATACCCATGCTTGTTAAAGGGAAATCCAAAATCTGTTTCATATCAGAAGAACCACCTGGTATAGGAGAGAGGAAAACAAAAATAAGGGACTATTCTATTGCCACTATAAATATCTCCAGACTTACAAGATTATTATATATAAACTTTCTGTCCTGATACTAGTAGTCTAACAGAGTACTAGTTCTAGAAATAAACTTCATTTAGCTTCTTGTACATATTTTCAGGTTTGAGCCTGAAGCAGGTCACTAGAAACGAAATTTGTATGTAATGAATAGCTTGTGGTCCTCAAACCTTTCTACAATCTGCTGAATATGGTTTGAGGACCACAATCTATTTAAGATGTTTTAAGTTTTCTGCCATTCATAACATTGAGGTCTCCAATAAAGAACTGAGGTCTGCAATAAGGAATCCACCTGAATTGTGGTACTGCCACAATTCACTGGGCAAAAGTGCCCCATGCCTCGTCTGTCGCCGGTTGACTGCTGTGCTCTACCTAGCCAGGATTGCCGCTAAGCTGACAACCATGACCCGAGAACAACCATGACCTGAGATCAGCTATGGACTTCAAATTGCTCTGGACATTCGAATTGCTGAGTTCGTAGGAGACTGACACCAACATTTTACAGAACTTTGAACGCAAACATACTTAATCCTAAGACTGCCAAATACAACCAAGCTGGATACTCTGGAAAGCTTGGCAGAAATAGTTTTATCATGTAAATATAAAATAAAACTTTTAATTAAAGTCTTTCCTTTTTATTTAGACAAAAAGGGGGAAATGTTGCAGGATATTTGATCACACTGTGAATACTGAGATTTTGTTGTTTACTGGAAAAAAAAAAAACCTGTTTCTAGTTGTGGTCTGGCTCAGCCCTAGCACACACCTTTACTCCAAGAGCTTTATGCTTGAATATTGTAAACAGGATTAAATAAAGTTAACCCTAGGTCAAGAGGTGGAACAAGCAACCAGTTGGTAGGAAGTGAACATAGGAATAAAAAACAGAGTAAGAGGAAGTCAGGAGGACGGATAAAGAGACACAGAAAGTAGAAGGGAGGGACATTTCGTTTGATGGGTTTTTGACATGGCTTCAGGAAGGAGCATTCCTTCTTAGTATGTCAGCTGAGGAGGAAGGTTACCTGGGTGCTTTCTCTATGTTTCTGAGCTAGCAGGCTTTTACCCCAACAGCTGGCTCCCTAGTCTTTATTGGTTAAATCAAAATCCTGAGATTTTGTTAAAAACAACTTTTTTTTTTTTTTTTCCCTCAGAGTTGAGGACCAAACCCAGGGCTTGCTATTATAGCCTGCTTTTCTTGAAAGAAAACTCACTTTTTTTTTTTCTTTTGAAGAAAATGTATCAAATGACCAAGCCTTCTGTTTTCTGATAGAATCTTATCTATCACACGTAGATATGACACACATAGCCCATCTTATATGGCCCAGGGGCCTTGACTTTGCACTTTGTTTTTAGAATTTGGGGTGCTGAGATTCCAGGCAGGTCCCACCACCATTGGGTTCTTTCTTTCTCTCTCTCTCTTTCTTTCTTCCTCTCTCTTTCTCTTTTCTTTTCCCCCTGTTTGCCATGGTTTCAGATAGTTCAGAGAGGTCTATCGAATTTGCTGCATGTGTGAATTTCTGATCTTCCTGTCTTCATTTTCCAAATGTTGGGATTATAGCCCTGTGCTACCATGTAAGTTTTTTTTTTTTTTTTTTTAAATTTACGTATTTATACAGTATTCTGCCTGCATGTATGCCTACATGCCAGAAGAGGGCACCAGATAAGATCATAGATGGTCGTGAGCCAACATTTGGTTGCAGGGAATTGAACTCAGGACCTTTGATAGAACAGCCAGTGCTCTTAGTTTCTGAGCCGTCTCTCCAGGCCCCTCCCCCTTTTTTAAAAAGGAGAAAGCGCTATAATATGTAGGCCAGGGTGCCTTTGGAGTTTATGTGCATGTGTGGGTTAGAGGACAACTTTTTCTTTTTTTCTTTTGGTTTCAAGACAGGGTTTCTTTCTGTATCCTTGGCTGTCCTGGACTTGCTTTGTAGACCAGGCTGGCCTCAAACTCACAGTGATCTGCCTGCCTGAGTGCTGGGATTAAAGGTGAGTGTCACCACGCCTGACTGTACCTGGCTTTTTATGTGGGTTCAGTTTACCAACCGAACTGGCTTTCCATCCCGATGGTTGTAAAATTTTAATTCTGTTGCTTTTGCCTCTTGAGTGCTAGGTTTACAGGTATGTCTTCCCAAGCCTTCCCCGACTGAACAATATAGTGACAACCAGCTCACTCAGGCTTCTCTTGTGATCACTGCCAATGCACTGGAAATTTTACCAAGCACTCTTTTTGCATCACCAGTGCATGAGTCAACACAGCCCAAAGGGCAGATGAGCTCTTAGATTTATGAGGAACTGCTCTACAGAGCATATCGACCACTGAGAGACCAGCATGTGAAACATGCACTTCATGTGAAGTGCAAGTTTCTGGTTCTTTTTTAAAGCTCAGTTGTGTCATGTGAATCTTTTTAATTTTGGTTTCAAGTGTGGAATGTGGGAATGTTTTCCCCCTGTGCAAAACAGCCCCCTCTTAAAACAGTTCCTCTGAGGGCTTGCCATGTTGGTCAGCTGAAAGCTACCTCATTTGAGGAGCGTTGTTTTTGTAAGGTGAAAAACATCCTCGTGTGGACTTTGAAAAGGGTTAAATAGATGCCTACAGACCATGTGTCTACGCTTTTGCATTGCTACAGTTTGTATCTTTTGCTAGTCTTTGCTTTGGCAGAGTTTCGCTGTCTCAGTGGACTTGTGCCATTTGGCTAGAGTCTAGTATCTACTGAATGGTTCCGCTTCAGCTGATGTGTGTTGCTGCTGCTGCTTTGCTAGATTGCTGGTATCCTAACAACTGAGTTTGATAGATCCCAAAGAACCCATAATGAGCAGGAAGTAGATAAAAGAGGTCTACAGCTCAAAGAGGGTTGGAAGGGAGGAAAAGGAGTTTAAGAACTTTAAATAAAGTAGCTGTTTGAAAAATCATGCCTGCCTGTTAGCTGAATCTTGAGGTTTTTGGCTCTAAAGGCAGTTGCCTTAGTAAGATCCTTAAGGGTTGCCCATATAGCACATGAAGTAAAGTGGCTGCTCAACAGGTAGTTGAAGTTAGTTGAATTCCTGTCCAGTATAATGATGAAATAAATCAGCTTCTTTATATTTTCTAATAAACACACTGTGGGCATAGGTCAGAGAGGAGCGTTTGTTGGAATCGGTTCTTGTTCCGTTGTGTGAGTCCTGAAATAAAAGTTGAGGTTGTCAGGGTTGGCAGAAAGCATGTTCACCTGCGGAACAGGTGCACCCTGCTGGAGAGGAAAGCAGGGGAATTGTTAACAGCAGTCCCCTAGGCTGTTAGGGACTGGTCCTGGCCTCCTACATGTGTACAGGTGTACATGTGTGCCTGTGTACTGCATGTTAGTACCTATGCACACTGCTAGACATACAAATCTATTGTGCATTGGGCCACTCAGTGGATAGAGACACTTGCTGGAAAACCTGATTATCTGAGTTTGATCCCTAGAATATACTTGGTGGAATGAGAGAGCTAATTCCCTCAAGTTATCTTCAGATCTCCTGTAAGCTCTGGCTCTTGTTTCTTCTTGCCCACAAAACAAACAAACTCACAAACAAATAAATGTAAAAAAACACATCAGTGAATGCTGTATCAAATAACTAATAAATGGATGGCTTGAAACAGTAGAAACTTAAGCTTTCACGTCTTTGGATGCCAGAAGTTGGAAATGAAGGAGATAAGAGAGTGGATTTCTTACAGAGAGTCATCTACACCTGCCTCTGCTGACGGCCAGCGGTTCTTTGCCTTTTCTTGCCTTGAAGACTCTTCCTTTTCTGTTTCCTTCTCTGCATTGTCTTCCCTTCTCTCTTCTAAGGACATTGTTTTTTTCAGTTAGTGCTCACTCTAATCCAGGATGATCTCTTTTTAAGAATCCTAACCTACTTAACATCTGCAAAGACCCCCTTCTAAATAGTGCCATATTCACAAGTTTCAGAGTGATAATAGCTTATACAAGCTTATTTTCATTATCTCCTATACCTTCCCCCCAAAATACTTACCTCCAAAGGAAAAACATAACAGTTGAAAACCGGACAAACATCTCAAGTTATCAAACAGAGCAGTAGTTTAAAATTTTTAAATGACTTTATGTTTTAGGTAGCTATTGTGTGGCTGGGTGTGGTGGTGCATGCCCGTAATCCTAGCATAGTGGTCACTGCGAGTTTGAGCCAACTTGGGGTAAAGAGTAACATATCTCAAAATGAAACAGAATAATCAGTTACCCAGTCTTAAGTATTTGTTATAGCAACAGAAACCAGTTAAAGATTAATGGTGAAGAATGAGAGTCTTCCTGTTGTAGGAATTAGGTGCTGTAATTACCTATTGCTTTTATTGTAACCATGCCCCCGTGTATAGACACAGCCTATGCTTCTGTAATAAACTTACTAATGTGGCAAGAGCCAGGAGGGTATTTTTGGCTTGCTTTGAATCCAAGCTTTTCTTACTTATACTGCGACCTAGCATAAGACCATTGTGCCAGAGTGTCCTTATATGTAAGGAAGAGCTGTGATAGTACTGTCCATTTCCTGTGAGTTAAATGAATATATTGCCAGCATGTATATAATATGTGCCCCAAGTATTTATAAATTTTTCTTTATTAAATTTTTTCTCTTCCCTTCCCTCCCTTCCTTTTATCCATTTCATGTAGCCTAGTCTCTCCTTGAACCTCTGATTTTCTTGTCACAGGTATATGCCACCACTCCAAGCTCAAATACTATTATTTTAGAAGACTGAGCAAGGTAGCTCAGGAATGTAATCCCAGTACTCCAGAGGCTGAGACAGTAGGATTCCTGTGAGTTCAGGGCCAGTCTGAGTTGCATAGCTAATCAGTGCTCTTCCAGAAGACCCAGGTTTGCTTCCCAGAACCTCATGGTAGCTTGCAACAGCCTGTGACTAAAGTTCCAAGGGATCCAATGCCCTCTTCTGGCCTGCTCAGTCACTCACACATACATATGAAAAAAAATCTTTAGAAGACAAAAAAGAGACTGGAGGTGCTCGCCACCGAAACAAACATTAAAAAATAGGAAGAGAGCCACAGAGTCTTAACCTGGTACAAGTTAAGACTGAAATTCCAGTTTGTTCTAGTGCAGTTGAGGCAAGAGGATTTGATGCTTGTTCCCAGTCTGGGTAATAAACTAAAACAACAGCATCTCCCCCCCCCCCCCCCCCCCGCCGCCACCATGGCCTGTTTCTGTGATACACAAACTTAAGGGCAGGGTTCTATGCAAGTGCACACACTTGATCAGCACAATGTAACATGGTCTTGAACTTGACTCCAGTGATCCTCCTGTCTTAGCCACCCAGATAGTTTTGAAGCTAGAAATGTTGTATGTTTATTCTGGGTCTGGTACAGTGGTGCCTAACCCATGATCCTGTTACATTTAGTAGGATGAGTCAGAACTATCGTGGGTTTCCTCTAGCCTGGGAACACAGTGAGACACCCTATCTTTGAAAACAACTCCCCACAAAACACTAAGAAATAAGATTATAGGTTCATTTGGGAGACATGTAAGAGAATATTACAGAAGAACAAGTCGAGCATTGCTTTAGCTGAGTTATTAAATTCTATAAATAGATTAGTAGTTTAAATTCAGAACTGTATCTGAGGC